AATCCAATCTGGTACCTGGGGGGGGGGGGGGGGGGAGGAGGTGTGAGCATGGTTGAGAAAAGGCAAGGAGGGAGGCAAGAAATCTGGCTCAAACCAGAACCAGATTAATCCTGGTAAATCTAGGAGTTAGGAAAGATGGGAGTCATGGACCTCGGAGAAAACAGTGGTGCTAAGTATGGTGAGCCTCAAGAGGGACACAGAAGCCCTGCTAGGAGTGAACAGAAAGATGAGATGCCCACACTGTCCTTAAGAGGCACAGAAGAGGAGAGGGGGCAGAAACTCTTTGAACTGAATAAATGGCTGAGGTGTTAGGGACCCAGGAGGAAAGACGAGAGGGAAATGGGCCCTGCCTATACAAAACTGAAATCCTTTTAGTCCTGGAGTTGGACAGGACTGCAGAAGTAGCCCAGGCCCAGAATTTAAAGAGCAGAGTGGGAGGTCCACAGAAGGTTGCTGTTGTTAGGTGCCATCGAGTCGGTGCCAAGACTCATAGCGACCTTATGCACAGTAGAACGAAATACTGCCCGATCCTGGGCCAACCTTACTACTGTTGCTACGCCTGATGCTGCCACTTGGCCACAGAAGGTACAACCTTGAAATTCTTCCTGTTCTCCAGCAGTATACTGCATGTTCTACAGAACCTGGGCTCCCTCTAGTGGCCACAGCTCACCAGTGCAGTACCTACCTGTTAAGTACCGTGACTTCCCAATCCAAGGAACTGGGTTAGTTCCTAGGCAGGCGTCTCATTGGTGGGGCTCCACAGAAAAGAGAGATACAGGGGATCTCTAGCCACATACTAGTACTCTATACATAGCCTGACCCAGCCAGAGGGCATGTTGACGACGTCAATTTCTGAATATTTAGGACTCAAGATTCTTCACTTCCTGCCTTCCCCTACACTTCCTGCTAACATTCTTCCCTCACCAGTTCCTCATCTTGCAGAGGGTTATGACCATACTTCCTGCTCTATCCCAGAATCAGCCAGGATTTTGTTTGGGAGAGGCTCAGTCTGGGAATTGGTGCTGTCCTCCACAGTTTTATTCCTTTAATACCTTCAGGGACTCCTGGACCCCAGTTTATACCACTTGCTAAGTCAATTCTGACTCATGGTGACCCCATCTATGTCAGAGTAGAGCTGTGCTCCAAGGGGTTTTCAATGGTTGAATTTTCTTAGGCTGATCACTAGGCCCTTCTTCCAAGGTGCCTCTGTATATGCAGCCTCCAACTTTTTAGTTAGCAGCTGAGCAAATAACCATTTGTACTGCCCAGGGACTCTCCAAACCCCAGGTTAACAACCCCTAATGCACATTGGTCCTGGGGCCAGGCTTGTTGCTTGGGCTCCACTGGTTGGGGCAGGGGCAGGTAGGCAGTGTCATTGTTTGGGCCATATTTGTTCAGTGCATCTTTCTGCCCTCCCCAGAGCTGCTAGCCAGTTTCATCCCCTTCCAGTGGCTCAGTCTTCTCTCCTCTCAGGTAGACTCGAGTTAAGACTCTTCAGACACAATCATGCACTGTGATTCAAACTTTAATGGTGGTGCTCTCAACACCACAAAGGTGGTGGCAACTGTGGAACATGGCCCGGGGGAGTGAGGCATTGCTCTGGTGCAGCTGAAGGAAGACCAGGAAACCTAGAGCTGGGGAGAGACTGAAAGGGGAAGATTCCCCAGGCACACAGCCCCACCTCTGGACCCACCCAGGCTGTGGTTAAGGGAGAACTCAGACAAAGGGATTGATGGTAAGGCCCTTTTGCTGCTATCCTTCCCGTTCCAGCAAGACCTCTTGTCCTAGGTCATACTGAGATCCACAGCCACATAGTCCCTTCAAATCAGGCCAGTTTTAGGCCCTAGTGGTTATGAGGAAATAATTAATGGAATGAATGGAAGATAAATAAATAAATAACAAACATACATATATACACTGAAGCCTTAGACCAGGTATGCCCATACACCCAGCACTCTCCCTAATTCACAGTTCATAGGCAACATGGGAGACTCATGGAACAAGCGCAAAGTACTAGTGACACATGACCCCACTCTAAACACCTCAACACACCAACCCTGATGTTCCTGTCACAGACCCTAATCATTCTTCCATAGACACCCCCCCCTTTGTAATTCTCATCCCTATTTCCAAGTTTTGAGGAAAGACTAGAAAGGAAGGAGAAGCGGAGAGTGGGAAAACCCAAAAAGTGGGGCCCAGAGAAGAGAAAGCAGAGACAGCGTGGGATTGGGTAAGCCAAGGAGCAGCTGGGGCAGGTTCATCAGGGAAGTTCTGGGCTGGCGCCCTGGGATTTAGGGTATCTCAGCAGGTGAAATATCACAGATCAAGACAGGAAGAAAGGGGTTCAAGGAAAATGGGAGAGAGGTTCCAAATCTCCAGGAGGGGGATCACAGTACACTGGGATTGCGGAAATTATGTCCAGCGAAGCGTGCCTCATCCCCCAGCTCTTCTTCAATTCTGAGATGAGACAGAAAGGAAACAGTCAGGAAAGCAGGAGACTCCTGTTTCTCTCTCTAGGAATCCCTCCAGCCTCCAAGGCCCCTCTGTGACCAAGGGTGAGTATTTCCTGGCTCGTTCATGTGACCACTAGGATCAATCAATCCGACCTTGAGCCACAAGTATTTCCTGGATATCTTCCTTTACCAGACTCTGGGCATTGAAGTTAGAATGGTGGGCAAACAAGACTTCTAACCAACTGTGCCCATGGGGTCCCATTCCTCAGGCTCCCTCACCTCATGAGCTGGTTATACTTGGCCAGACGCTCAGAACGGCATGGGGCACCAGTCTTGATCTGAAACATCCCAAAAGATATACAGCTCAGTGACTGAAGTACCCTTCACCACATAAAAGGGAACTTACACCCCCTGCTTCAGAATTCCCCTGACATCCTCAACCACTTGGAAGGAGAGACCCACCTGAACCTACAACCCACCAATCCCACAAACATCTCCCCCCACTCACCGGGCTGCCCCACTCACCTGACCTGTGCACAACCCTACAACCAGGTCAGCGATGAACGTGTCCTCTGTCTCTCCTGAGCGATGGCTCACCATGACCCCCCAGCCATTCTCCTGGGCCAGCTTGCACCTGTATCCATACCATACACCTGCACTGATCTCCCCAGCCCCTCTCACCGAGCATGCTCTTCCCAACCCCAAAATTGGTCTAAGTCAAGAAACAAGTAGAGGGAAATTGGGAGAGGAGCAGAGGGCGAGGGGTGGAGGGAGCAGAACTGAGAGAACTGTGCTGGTAATTTTAGGCTCCCTGTTCTCTTGGGCATCACTGGGTAGGGGTAAGGTAGGCACTCTTGCAAGAAGAGACCAGTGCAGACAGGATCTGAGTAGGAAAGAAGTAGGAGTCACTCACGCCTGGATGGCTTCGGTGACTGAGCCAATCTGGTTGACCTTGAGCAGCAGGCAGTTGCAGGCCTTTTCCTCCACTGCCCGCTCAATACGCTTTGGGTTGGTTACTGTTAGGTCATCACCGACAATCTGGATCCCTACATTGGCTGTGAACTTGGACCAGGCAGCCCAATCATCCTGGTCAAAGGGATCTTCAATGGAGACCACTGCAGGTGGAGAGAGAGACGAGACTATTAATCCTCCCTGGGTCTCTGTATCAGGAAATAACCACCAACCACCCCCACCCCCACCCCCGACCTGGCTCTTTGATTCCTTGAAATATAGAGGTTCCCTTGCTCATCCTTGCCTCTATCCCAAAGCCAGCCTGCTCTGATTCTAATCTTGATTCTTATTTCATGAAACTTCCAAGAACAAAGGTTCACAGCCTTCCTCAGAATATCTTTGCATTTCCCTATTCTGATGTGGTACTGTAGGATAAGCACTGGACTACTAACTGCAAGGCTGGTGGTTCAAATCCACCAGCCAGCTGCTCCTTGGAAACTCAATATAGGGTCAATATGAGTCAGACCTAACTTGATGGCACTTAACAACAAAAATTCTGACTACTGGGAAGCCTTTCCTTACTATTAGTTTAAATCATGTTACAATTTCTGTTTTCTCCTGCTTTATCTTGTGGACTAAGAACCTTTGGTAGATGTGAAGCAGGTGATCCCATCTATCCTTGGCCTTCTTTTCTATTCACATATCAGTCCCAGACCCTTTAGCATCACCATTTAATCAACCAGGGGCACTGAAGTGTGCTAGTTGCATGCTTGTTAAATGCAAGTCATCCTTTCACCATCATGGTCCTTATAATTTCAGAGTTCCTGATATTCAAGACCCAGAGCAGATGAAACAGATGCATGCATCATAGCTCCCTGCATATCTGTGTTCCATACAAAGCCTAGTCTACAGGGGGCTCTGTCATCCATCCCTGGCTCTCAGGTTCTTCTTAGGACACTTTGTGGCAACTGTGCCAGAACCCACTGCCCTCTCTCCCACACTCCCTCCCTGTTCTCACCAGGATAGTCCCTGACAAAGTCCTGGTACAGGGCCCCCAGCTGGTCCCCAGTGATGTATCGAGAAGGATCAGGGGGAGACTTGAAGTCCAAGTCATATTTGCCATCACGATAAAACTCCGAGGCAGCGACATCCATGCCAATGACAATCTTTTCTGTGTAGCCAGCCTTGTCGATGGCTTCCTTCACCAGCTCCAAGGCTAGGGGTGGAATAGAGGGAGATTATAAGCAGCAGCAGGAGTGGACAAGGAAGGATGGACAGGAAGAAAAGTCAGGGCAGAAGTGGAGAACTGCTGTTGGGGAGAATTTGGTTAAGGTCATTGGGGGGATCCCCAGGTCTAGGAGGAACAGGCCATCTTGTAAGAAGGCAAAGGACAGGGATTCCGTTTATAATGGTTTGGGTTTTGCTGCTAATAGCTATAATGTATTAAGGGCTGTAGGATAAGCGCTGGTCTGCAAACCAAAAGGTCAGTGGTTCAAACCCATCAGCTGCTCCTATGGATCACTATGAGTCAGAACCGACCGACAGCACTTAACAACATATCAACTAGAAACTTTACGTAGATGATCTCATTTAATCTTCACAATGAGACTTTGTCATTAGCTGCCATCAAGTCAGCCTAGGCTCATGGTAACCTTCTGAGTAACAGAATGAAACATTCCCCAGTGATCAGCTGAGCACTACTCCATGATCAGCTGCAGACTAGACCATTGTTAACCATGGTGCTTTCACTGGCTGATTTTGGGATGTAGATCACAAGGCCTTGGTTTGAATCTGGAAGCTCTGCAGTCAGTGGAGGCTTACCTATATAGTAGCATGATAGCAACACACAAGCTTCCATTGACAGATGGCCAGGAATTAAACCAGGGTCTCCCATGGAAGGCACCACTGCCCCCAGGAGGTAGACATTGGTTTATCCCCTTTGTACAGATAAGAAAATCAATCAGTAACTCTTCAAAGTCATGTTTCAAATCCATGTAATTTGGTCCCAAAATCTTAACTCTTAACCACTACCTATAATGCTTCCATAGGAGTCCTGGTGTGGCACTGTGGGTTAACGCGCCAGACTCCAAAGCCGTTTGAACTGCAAGGTTGGTGGTTCAAGCTCACCAGCTGCTCCTTGGAAACCCTATACAGGGTCACTATGGGTTGGAACAGACTCGACAGCACTTAACAACAACAACAATGCTTCTATTCACTAACAGAAAAACTAGGGATCCTAGAGCCAAAAAAGGTTGGTGTGAGGATAGGGAGAAATTTAGAATGGATTTCCCGGAATTTGTTATGTCTCATCACACCAAAAACCCTATGGAGTTAAAGCAAAGCCTGAATCCCACAGGTCACCTAGGCCATCTCCCAACATCCCCAGGGGCTTCAGTAAGGACTTACAGATGCTACCAGATCTGGCTGAGCAGGGAAAAGATGGTCCTTTTAGGCCTGCATGTAAATTTGCAGGCCTTCTGATAATTCCTCTATGGGCTATTTAGTAATACCGTTGGATACCAGGAGCTCAAGAACCCCTAACTCCTCTACAGAACTTGGTGAAGGGTGTAGCCCTTCCTGATGTCCCAGAATAGAGTAGAACTTAAGAGTTGGTAGTGGGGCTTGTGGCCTCACCTTCACTGTTCTCTAGAATATTGGGGGCAAAGCCACCTTCATCCCCCACATTGGTGGCATCTTTGCCATACTTGTCCTTGATGACCCCCTTGAGTGTGTGGTAGACCTCTGCCCCAAGTCGCATGGCATCCCGAAAGCTCTCAGCACCCACAGGGAGGATCATGAATTCCTGCATGGCCAACTTGTTTCCAGCATGAGATCCACCATTGATCACGTTGAAGGCCTAGGGAGCCACAAGAGGACAAAGAGTCAAAGAATCTTTCCTGCTCTACCCTGGGAATGCTAACCCATGGCTATTCCAAGCCAAAATTTGCCCCAGCTTCTCAAACTCAAGAGTCTGTGCTCTATTCTTGCTTGTCATTCATTGTTGCGATTCATTTTCCTTCCATCATTCCCCTTGGGTTTCCCATTCACTCTTCCACCCACCCCTGGGATAGGCATAGTTACAGCGTAGTGCTCACCGGCACAGGCAGGATGAGGTCTGAGTTCCCGGCCAGCTGAGCAATATGCCGATACAGGGGCAATTCCCGCTCAGCTGCCCCCGCCTTACACACAGCCAGGGATACACCCAGGATGGCATTGGCCCCAAACTTGGCTGGGAGATCAAAGAAGAGAAAACTTAGCAATAAAAAAGGTCCACTGCTTTTTCCAGCCCTTGCTTTTACCTATGATCCCCAAAGGAGCTAACAGAGGAGACACCCCCTCCTCTCCCTCCTTACCCCTGCAATAGGGACTTTCAGAGATCCATGCAGCTCATCCATTCTCCTCTGCAAATAGCAGGGGAAGAGCAGAAGGTGGGGAGAAGATGGTAGAAAAGGACAGAGAACCGACCTAATTTTAAACATCCCTAAGAACAAACTACCCAACACCAGCTCTCTCCTCTTTATGCAAAGAAGTTCTTGTTTCCATCTAGCATCACTGCCTCCCATTGCAGTGAAACTCACCTTCTCTTGGCTCTGGCTATGAAAGAAGGATGGAAGAAGGGCTAGTCCTCTGGCAGCCCTTCCTGACAAAGTCCCCACAGCACTGGCCCCTCCAGTTCTCCACCTGCTTTTCATGTGCCCACCCTCGTTTCTACCCACCTTCTCCCAGTTCCTGCTTACATTTGTTTTCAGTCCCATCCAACTCCAGCATCAAGTTGTCCAGTTTCTCTTGTTCCACCACAGAGATACCCTGTGGACACAGCCCCATCACTCAGGGCCAAGGTGGAGGCTGGGTCCTAGGGCAGGGACTCCCATTTGTACACAGGCTTACATCTGGCCAACATCCTACCAGATCCCTGTCACAGGGCCTGTCTGGATTAGAGGACCTGAGTCCCCCCTGGGAGCAGGGGGCAAGAAGGGGGTCTGTCTCCTCACTATCCTTGTAATCATGATTCCTAAAAGGTGGGCCTTTCTCCTCCCCTTCCTCCCTGAGGGTTCTATCCTGGCCCCCCGGTCCTGCCATCCCCAGCAAAAAGTGGGCCTCACTGAGCTGATGAGGGCTGGAGCGATAGTGGTGTTGATGTGGTCCACTGCCTTCAGGACACCTAGGGAGAGGCAGAGCCATGGGGATGGGTCAGGCTAGGAGGGACCAGAAGACAGGAGGAGAGAAAAGGAGGGAGGGCTTGCTAGAAAAGGGTTGGGGACTGATGTAAGGACTGAGGGGTAGAAGGGCCTAGAAAGAAGAAAGGCCTCACCTTTGCCTAAGTAACGCTGTTTGTCACCATCTCTTAGCTCCAGTGCCTCATAGATGCCAGTGGAGGCTCCACTGGGCACTGCTGCCCGGAAAAGACCTGGAAGAGGAACATGAAATTAGGAGGGGAGGAAAAGAAGGACACTACTGGGCCAGGGATTACTTCTGCCTTGCAGCCCTGAACATCCGGCCTTCTCCCCACCCTGCTCCCTGACCACACACACACACACACACACACACACACTCAGCCTGAAGCACAAGCAGTAACCGCCTCATATGATACCCCATATGCACAAGTGGGAACCCACAGAAAGGAAGCCATGCCAGCCAGGTAGCACATATATGCATATGCAGAGTTGTACATGCAGATACCCAGAGAACAGGTATGTCTCACGGTGGAACAGAGACCTGTTTATTCTGGCTCCCCTGTACAAGGAGGATCCACCCCTCATAACCAAGGCGGTGAGCCTGGCCCCACTGGGTGTTGAGGAAAGCCTCCCATTATCCAGGCTGGTGCAGACCCAGCGAAGAGGTTGAAAAGTGGGGACTGTGAGAAAGCCCATACCCCACCATTACCTTTGGCAGTGTGGAGATCCACCTCCACCGTGGGATTCCCACGGGAATCCAGGATCTCCCGGGCCCAGATCCTCTCTATCGACATGATGCCTAGGATCTCCTCGGGTGGAAGGAACTGAAGGAGAAAGACAAGAGGCTTAGAGAGGGTGGAGCCTAAGGTAAGTGGGAGGGGCTAGAGGCAGGGAGGGTTGGGAAAGAGAAAGAGGTTACTGCAGTGGGGGTGGGGGGGGTGGCTGCAGTCTCAGGTTGGAGAAGGGATCGCCCTCCCCCCTCCCGCCCCCCAGAGGCGGGGAGAAGGTCAAGGCAGTGAAGAGGAGGTCACTGCAGTGGGGGGCAGGGTAAAATCAAAAGATGAGAAGGGAGGGTCCCCACAGTGAAGAGGGAAGGGGCAGTGGGTCCCTCGCCCCCTCAAGTAGCTTCAGCAGCTGGCGTCTGGGGTTCCCCCAATTCTCAGAGCAGAATGGCTGCCAAGCTTACAGTTATTTCTTTTTGGAGTCAGAAAGAGGAGGGGCTGTCTGACCTGCTAGGACTCTCCTTTTGAGATGAGAGTCCCCCATCCCACCACCACCAAGTTAAATGCCAAGCCTGCTGACCCACACTCTTAGGTCTCAATCTCTCCCTCAGAAGTGTGTCCTTCCTCTATCCAAGAAATGGTGCGACAAGAATCTGGGGAGAGAACCTTGGGGAAGGGCCTCCAGGCCCGGGGGTTACAGTGAGGAGGAGCACGATGACGACCCCATAGAAAAGTCAAAGCTGGGCCCATTCTCTCCCCGTCCCCAGACAAATCCCCCTCCTCCCATCCCTCCCCTGCGTAGCCAGGAAAAGGAAAAGCCAGGAGAGGGGCGACTAGGGGGAGGAGAAGGCGAGTCTAGAAGAAATCTGGGGAGCAGAGGGAGGGTGAGGGAAGACACTCCACCAAATACAAAGCCAGGAGGACATACCAGAATAAAAATGCACAGCACCGGAAACCTGAATTTAAAAACCAGGGCGAGGAGGGCAAAAGAGGCAAGGGTGGAGAAAGGCGCAGCTAGAGAGAAATAAGTGCCGAGCAGGTGGGCACCTAAGTGAGGAGGGGGCAACAGCCAGAAAAGAGGGGTCTGGGAAGGCTGGGAGAAGGAGGCTGCCGGGAGAGGCAAGCAGGTGCGCAGCGCTGCGGCGTGGCCGGGAGAAGCGCTAAGGCGGGGAGAAGGGAGGCCAGGAGCTGCGGCTGGAGGCGCGGAGGTAAGGGGAGGGAGCCGAGGGGGGCCAGCTGGCTGAAGCTTCACCTCGGGGCTGCAGACTCCGCCAGTGGCGACAGCAGCGACTCTGAGAGAACAGACAGAAGTGCAGTGGCGGTAGTGGCGGTGGTGGAGGTGGTGGCGGTGGCGGCAGCGGCGGCAGCTCCCGGGCGACGGGCGGGGGGCGGAGGGGGGCAGGCGCCGATAGGGCCGGGCGGGCGCATGTGACCCGGAGCCCCCGATGAGTCAGGAGCCGCGGGTGGAGGCGTAGGTAGGAGTGCGGGTGGGGGTCGGGGGAAGGTTCCGGGAGAGCGATAGGGAGGAGAATGAGTGACCCCTAACCTGGCCACCTACGTCCGCGCGTGTGCTTATACCCACACTTCGACCCACTCAAAAGTTACGGGCACAGTTTCACCCCAATAATCTTGGAACTGAAGCCCACATTGCCAGTGCATAGTGTCTCACAAACCAGGTCAGACACAAGAGTTATCGAAATGTCTCTTTATTTGAAAATTGAATCTTCCTAAACACCCAGTTTACTCCTCATCGAACCCTACAAATATCCATTGAGTCTATCTAAGTCAACCCAGGCTTGGCTCCCACCCAGATCTATGTGAGGGTGAGTGCAGGGCTCAGTCCACCTGCACCCCATATGGTCCAGGTTGCAGGCACAGAGCTTGGGCGACAGGTTGAAATGAATTAGGAGCTCAGAGACAAAAGCAGGTACCAGTGTCCCTAATGAGGGTGTGACAGTTGAGGCCCCAACTGGTAGGCATGCCTGGTCTTGGGGCCAGTGCGTTTATCTCCTGGAGGAAGAGGGCAGAAGTCAAGTCTCCGGGCCTTACTAGCTCCCAGTCTCAACCTCTTCCCCATACAAATGTCCAGCTGCCATAGCTCCCTGGTCTCATCCCAGTTTCTTCTGCCTCACCCAGCCATCCTTTCTTCCCTCCCACTCCATCCCTACTCCTGTTGTCCTGTTATTTTCAGCTTCAAATTTTTAGTGCAAGATCTTCCTCTCCTGCCTTCTCTCCTACACACAGCTGTGTTCCTCATATGCCACCACCAACCTACCCCCCATGGGCCTGGATCTATCCTATCCTAACTGACCTTCACTCTATGAAAGGGGTGGCTGCTCAACCACCCGCCAACTTTGATAATGCTATGCCAGTCTCCTAAGCCTTCTCAGCTCCTTCTCAAGCCCTTTAGGTCCTTCCTCTTCAACCTGAGATGCCCTTGACTCCTAACCTGGCCTCTCCTAGGGTTCTCCTGCATTAGCCCTTCCCTCATTTTTTCTCACCCACCCTTTCTCGCAGGAACTTCTCTTCCCCTATCCACTCACGCCTGTGACCTCCTCTTCCTGCTTCTGCTGGCTCCCTTACCATCCTCAGAGGCTAGAGCTGCTGCTGCTTTGTTGACTGATCTGGTTTCTCCTCAGGATCAGGCTCAGGATCATGCTCCTGTTCCTCCTTCATCCTCTGACGGATCTCCTCAGCTTCAGCCCGCTCCTCGTCCTCGTAGAAGTCCTTGTCCAGGCGTTCAAGGTGCACCATTTGTACCAGGGCCTCTTGGCGGTAGTCACTCTCATCTGTGCATGGGTTTTCCAGCAGCACTAGGGCCCGAAGCTTGGGTAGATCCCGAAGTTTGCTTAGCTCTCCCAGGTCAGTCACCATATTGCCCCTGCCAGTGGGGTCAGGAAGAGTTCGCCCAGGAATAATGGGCTTTGGGGGCCAAACTATCAGGCATAGGGTATCTGAGGGACTCTCCCACTGGGCTTCTGTTTCCCTAGGAACACTGTCCCTGTGGATTGGCCTGCCAAGCATTGTCACATTTGTGGCAGAGATGCCCAACGCAACCCCACTCATGTCCTGTTTCCACTCATGAAGGAATCTCTAAGTGCTGTATTATATCCTGTAATGTGCTGTCTTTATCCTTTTGGAGCAGCAAAGGTAGGCCACATTCTGCCCCATAGTGAGAGAGGAGGGAGGAAATCTCCCTGGAAGGTGAAAGACTTTTTCTATGTCAATCACACTTAATCAGAGGTTGTTGTTGTTAACTGTTACGTGTCTTTGAGTGGGTTCTGACTCACAGGAACTCTGTATAGGGTGTTCAGTGAGTGGCTAGTGGGTTTGAACTGCTGACCTTGCAGCTAGCAGTCCAGTGCAGTTCAGTGCTCAGAGGTTAAAAGGTAGGAATTAGACCAGTGGAGAAGGAACTGGGATCTAAGCATGCACTCAGAATGGTAGGTGCTATGTTGGGTCTCCTCACAGGAAGGAGCTGAAAGCCAGGGATGGGTTAGGGCCTCTTAGCCCAAAGAACAATCTCCTAATATGCCTCATTATGTAATAGTCTGTGTTTATTTTTATGTTCTTCAAACTTTTAGAAAAGCATGCTCTTCTAAATGTTCCAATCTCATCCCAATGGGGTGAAGAACCTCACACAGTTGTTCCCCAGTGGGAGTGCTGCAGGCATTTTGTGTTGGACTGTCCAGTGCATGGTAGGATATTTAGCATCTCTAGCCCCAGAGTCACCTCCTAGTCATTGAGACAACTCAAAACAACCCGTCAACCACAAACATTTACACCACACCACCACCAACCAGGCCAAAGTGACAGACCTGGATAGCAAGAGATTGCTTCCTGGGTGAGGGGAGGAGTTGGAACTTTAAGGGGCAACCACTTGTTACAAACTCTATTACAAACTCTAAGGATTTAGTCTTATTCACTGCAGAAGGAAGCAATTTCCTTACATTTTTGCTTAAAGAAACACACAAAATATCCTCCATCAGAGAAAAGCTGCTGAAAGAAAATCCCCCTGAGTCCCAAGACACAGTATCTTTCTACCTGGAGACTTCCTTTCAAATTCTCTCCAAATATGAGCTCACCTTGATTTTCCTATCAGTAAGGGAGTCATCCTTTACAGGTGAGGCTCAGTGGGAGAGAGGCAGAATATGAAAAGAGGAACTAAGATGGAGGGGAGAACAAAGGAAACTCATATGGGGGTGGTTGTTTTTAGGTGACACGGAGTTGATTTTTGACTCATAGTGACCCCATGTGACAAAGTAGAACTGCCCCATAGGGTTTCCTAGGCTGTAGTTTTTATGGAAGGAGATCCTCAGGTCTCTCTCCCATGGTGCCTCTGAGTGGGTTTAAACCATCAACCTTTTGGTTAGCAGCCAAGTGCTTAACCATTGCAGCCAGACCATGAGGCCTTAAGGACTGCCTATGATTCCTCTAGATGTTCCTAGAACACAGCACAAGACCTAGCACATAGCACATTCTCAGTAATTGTGAACTGAATGAATAAAGACTCAGGGGTTGCAGGTTATAATGGTCATAGTTTGATAATCAGGACTGAATGTAAAAGTAAGGGGAGGAGGAGTGATGGTCAGGATGAAGGATAAGGTGAGGATCTGGGAGTGGTATGTTTGGGGGTCAAGGCCAGGGAGGAATCTGAGAGACAAAAGCTTCTCCTGGTCAGGGAAAGGAGCAAGGTACAGCTTGGAGGGGGTGCATACCTCAGGTTTAGATACTGAAGGGACTTCATTTCCTCAGAAAAGCCATTCAGAGTTTCAATTTGGTTGTCTCGAAGATGCAAGGTAGTGAGATTGCTTAGTTTCTCCAAGCCTTCCACCTTCTTCAGCATGTTCTGGGCCTAGACTCCAAGACACAATAGATAGACTGGGAGGGAGAGTAGGAGTAGGTAAGGAAGCAAAATCAGAAAGAAATGAAGCAAAAGAGGAAACCCAAGAGGTAAAGAGAGGGAAAGGTGGAGGAGGGGAGCAAAGGGAGTTAGAGATTTATCTATGAAGAGGAAGACATCCAGGAAAAGCTTCCACCCCAGAGAAAGGCCAGCAGTAACCCCTGCAATGCATCCTACCAAAAAAAAAAAAAATGAAGCCCACTGCCATCAAGTCGATTTTGACGCATAGCAACCCTTGATAGGGTTTCCAAGACTGTAAATCTTTACAGGAGCAGACAGCCTCACCTTTCTCCCACAAAGAAGCCTTTGAGCTTAAACTGGATGACCTTGTGGCTAGCAGCCCAACATCTGTCTATTCTATAGTGTCAACAGGGTACCAAAGCCACCTCTAATTAGAAAAAGATGCTTCCAGCTACTCTTAGGCCCATGAGCCCCCACTCAGCTACCAAGGAGAAGTGGCTTCAGTACCATCTTGGAATGAAGATGCTGAAGAATCTAAAAAACTAAACATTTAAGTGGTCCCTTTAAACTGATGTCTGTCCCTCAGTTATGTCATGTTATGCTGCTACTTGTATCAAACAAATTATCTATTATCCATGCTTTATGTAGCATCATCCCTGCTAGGTGTTAATCACCATATCTGTTTTATCTTTGTATCTCAACAGAATCTGTCACAAAGTTATTGTTGTTTTAATGCCGCCAAGGCAGTTCTGACTTATAGAGACCCTGTATAGGGTTTCCAAGGAGCGATTGGTAGATTTGAACCGCCAACCTTGCAGTTCAAACCGACCTTGCGGTCTAGTGCTTATCCTACAGCACCACACCAGGGCAAAGCTGTTGTTGTTAAGTTCCATCAAGTCAGTTCTGACCCATAGTAACCCTGTATAGGGCTTCCAAGGGACTCAATAATTAAACCAGTTACTATTATGACAAAGTGGCTGGACCTACTGAAAACCAGTTGTCCTGGCCCTCAGGACAGTGCCCTCTTTCCTTTCCCACTGTCTGACCCAGTGAGCTACCAGAAATAGATTCTTTAGCTTAGGGAGGTTGATCCCCAGGGTGCTGTCCAGCTGGTTTCCCCGAAGCTCCAGTGTGTGTAGGCTGTTCAACTTTTGGGGGTCCAGACCTGTCACCATGCGAATGTGGTTCCCTGGGGAGGAAGAGGAGAATCAAGAGTTCAAAAGGCCACTCTAGATGATTTTCTGGGAGCATTTGAGACTGATTTTCCAGGAGCCTCTGCATCATCCTCTTTCTAATGCTAGGTGAACAGTGAAGGGACCCTGGAGGTAGCGATCTGGTAGTCCAAGGGCCTAAGGCCTTTTGAGGAGTGAAAGAAGAGTACCTAGCAATCCCCCTCCTACTTCAAGTCTTTGCACGATGTCTTCATTTCCATGCTGCCTGTCCTAATCAACCTGTTTGAAATGATCGCCTCTACCCCCACCCTTAAAGGAGCTCTGGTAGCGTAGTGGTTACGAATCGGGCTGCGAACCTTAAGGTCAGCGGTTCGAAACTACCAGCCGCTCCGCGGGAGAAAGATGAGGCTTTCTACTCCCGTAAAGATTTACACCCTTGGAAACCCTGTACAGGGTCGCTATGGGTCGGACCCGACTCAATGGCACTTAACAACAACAACCCCCACCCTTACCCTGAGCTAGTTTTTTCTGTGGCACTCATCTCCTTTTAATATATTTACTTACTATATTCATTGCTAATTGTCTCCCTCAACTAAACTAGAAGGTAAATTACATGAGAATAAAGATTTTTTTCTTTTCTTTTCTTTCTAGTTTACTTTGATTTTTTGCTGTCTGCTATATCTCCAGCAACAGAAACCTGGTGTGGTGCTGTAGAATAAGCACTGGACTGCTAACCACAAGGTTGGTGGTTCAAACCCACCAGCCACTCCTCAGAAACCCTATACAGGTTCGCTATGAGTCCGAACCAACTCGCCAGCACTTAACAACAATAGATCTTCAGTATACAAAATTGTAATGAATGTTATAATGAGTGGTTAAGTCAATGAATGCAGATTACTGCGTGGCATAGCCAAGGATCACATACTGCCCGCTTCTGTTGGCCCCGGGTTAGGAAGGAAAGAATCATGTGCAGCCATTCTGAAGGGCCCACCTTTGAGATCCAGGCTGCCCAGACGAGGATGACAGATGCCCTCAGTGTCAGTGATCTGGTTATAAGCAAAACTGGCAATCTGCAGATAGGGCAGTTCATCCAGACGGGCACTTCGCAGCCGGTTACCATCAGCCTTGAGCCAGAGCAGGTGGGTAAGGTAATTGAGTGGGGACAAGTCTGTCAGATGATTCTCAGAAACATCCACATAGCGTAGATGGATATAAGAGCGTAGTAAGTAGATGTCTGTCAGATCCCTAGAACGTGGTAGAGGGAAGGGTCAGAGTTAGTGTAAGTCTAGCAAGGACTGGGTAGAGGTGCTGAAGCAAAAGGTTATATGGAGATGACATATATCTATTGGGGAGAAGAATGGGAAACAAAATGGGTGGGGTGAGGCAGGGGAAAAGAAGGCAGGTATGTTTTTAACTGTGGTCAGGGACCAGGTGTCAGTGAAAGTCAGAGAACTGAAACTCTGAAGGACAAATGAGTGAGTCCAGCAGGAATGCCCATATAGTCTCAGTTTCTACTTCTCCAGACCAGCTCAGACAGGAAGTCTCAGAGTTTCTGAAAAATAAATTCTATCCTTCTTTCACCACTGGGTCAAGATGACAGAGATCTAAACTCTCAACCAAAAAAAGAAAGAAAGGAAGGGAGAGAAAGAAAGAAAAGGAAAGACAAAGAATGAGGGTGGGAAAGGAGATAAGGCCTAAAATTTTCACAATCCTCATCTGGTCCCTCACAAACACACCTCTCTTTGACCTCCAGCTTGACATAAGCGTGAGCCAGTCCATTACCAGTCTTACAAAGCAAAGAAAGTCCTTCTTTCATCAAGTCCTCTGAGAGGGGGTTGGGTATCCACTACAAGAGAAAGTGGAGTCAGGCATCTTTCCCACCTGATGTTTTCCCTTTGCCTTAGGACCCTTCCCTTTCCAAGCTCTCACATCCTCAGATAAGTCTTCTCCCTCTTTCCTGTAGTCCTCTCCCTCCTCAGTCTCCTTCTCATCATCATCTTTTTCAAGATCATCCTGGTCTGGCTCAAAATCTTCCAGATCTTCATCTGACATCTTTCTTCCTGGCTGAAGGCTCTGGAGTCAGCTCAAGTTCAGCCCTCGCTCTGGAAAGAAGGTCTTTCAGCTTCTGCCAACTCCTCAGTCCCTCACCTCTGATCAACCCTCTCTTCCACTAACTATGCTTACCATAGTGGTCAGCTTACTACTCATTCACTCTCCTATCAACCCTCTCTTCCACTGACTATGCTCTGTCCTCATCTCTGCAACCATCAAGTTTCAATTTTGACTCCAAACCTCCACTGCATACTTCCCACTAAGGATCCTTTTCCGTTCAGGATGCCTTCTCCCCCAAGACCTTTTCTGCCATTCACAGTAGCAACCACTCTCCTCCAGCAGTTCACTTCCTCCGCAGTTCTCCCCACCGATTAAGCCATCCAGTCTCCCCTTACTGATCTACCTTCTCTCTCCCTCCCTATCCGACCCCCTGAACCACTCATTTCTTCTAACGCTCCATCCCACCTCAGTCCCGTTCCCTTGTCCCCTCCGAGCCTCCTGCCTGACGCACAGTGTCCTACCCTCCCACACCCAATCTCCCTTTGCAAAGGGGTGCAGTTCTGAAGAGGGTCTCTGCCGGTAGAAGGGAAGATTGTTTAGGAAGAGGGGAAAGTGGTTAGTTAGCAGGGGTTGTGTGCTGCGCTATGGCAACGGGAAAGAGGGCGGGGCACTTGACTGCTGCAGCTAACAACGGTGGAGCCAAGAGTCGCTACAAACTGAAAGGAAAATCCGCCCCAGAGGGGGTGGCTCTGTAGTTGCCTGGTTACCAGGCCAAGTTCCGGTACCCAGGAACCCGGATAAGGAGCCGAAAGGCCGAGGGGAGGAACTGGAGGCGGAAGCATGTATTGCGTCATTTTAACCGTTAAAGGGGCCCGGACCTCATTAGTCCAAGAGTGGTTATAATTCGTGCTGCTAACCACGAGGTCAGCAATTCGAAACTACCATCTGTTCCGCGGGAGAAAGATGAGGCTTTCTGCTCCCGTAAAGATTTACAGCCTCGGAAACCCTGTACAAGGTCGCTATGAGTCGGAACCGACTCCATGGCACGTAACCAACTAACCCCAGAAGCAAAGAGGGCGGGGAGGAAAGAGAAGCGAAAAATACCTAGGTATGTGGCCCACGCCCTTCAGTTAGACCTTTAGAAGATACCTTTGTGGAGTGGAAAGGCCCAGGTATCTTGTCTGGGTTGGAGTCATTGCAGATAGCAGTTTACTAGCAACTAAGATCCACTTTCTTCATCTGTAAAATAGGCCTAAAATGAGGCTGTATACTTCCAAGAAGAATTACAGACTCAGAAACCTTACACAGGGGTCGTTATGACTCGGAACTGACTCCAGGGCATATAACAATAACAACAAAATAGGCTTAACTTTACCAAGTGACAAGGATTGAATATTAGTTGAATGTGTGCATGAGCACTTTGTAGACTGCATTTCATTCTTTCCCATATTCTGAATTGGTTTTATGAAAAACTTTTAGGCATATATTGTTAAGTGTCTTGGAGTCGATTCGGACTCATAGCTACCCTGTATAAGGTTTCCGAGGAGCGGCTGGTTAGCCAGTCTTTATCCTACAGCACCACATCCGAACTTCTTTTAGCATATGTTGTTGGCTTTAAGTCTCTGCAGGAACAGAAAGCCTCATCTTTCTCCCGCAGAGGGAATGGCAGGCTCCAAACGCGGATCTTTTGATTCCCAGTCCAGTGCTTATTGTATGGAGCGGCCGTGCTCCTTGAGCATATGATTTTTGTTGTTAAGTGCTGTTGAGTCTTTTCCACTCATAGCCACCCTGTATAAGGTTTCCAAGTAGTAGCTGGTGGGTTTGAACTATTAACTCCACACCAAGAGTCTAAAGAAAGGGTGACTATGCCCACTAAATACTCCATAGCTAACACTGTTATATAAACAGTCTACAAGAACTGATATTCTTAAACTTAGACACTCAGGCTTGTTTGACATATTGAAGGAAATGATAAACAGATTGAAATGCAACAAACATCTAAGGAGAGTTTGTGCTGGCCACTGTTTGAAATGCTTTTTACAAGTGATAGTAAATCTCTACAACAGTCCTGTGAGATAAAGAACAAACTGAGGCTCAGAGAGGTTTATATTTATGGCACAATTCCTGTCAGAATTGTGAGAGAAGGGAAGTATTACCACTCTTGCTGTGGAATCTAATGTAAATGAAACGATTAGATAACAAGGTAAGATTCAGTGTGATTCATTGTTAAATTGTGTGCTACAGACTATCTAACAGGCAAAATAATCTGGCAGAAGATGTGGTAGGCTGGAAATCAAGAAATACTACCTCCTGTCCTGCCCAATTTGAAAAATATAGTTAGACAAAGTGGTTTCAAAAAGGTCGTGGAACAATTCTATTATCTTTCTACTTCATTTTTCAGGATCTTTTTGAAGTACCCTTGTATGTTCACATGATGTCATGGAAAGAGCAGGGGCTTTAAAGTATAAAGAACCCTTCTCTACCTCTTAATCACTGGGAGTTATTCAGCAGGTTGTATAATTTTACTATGATAATGGGAATAATAATGCCCACCTCAAAGGGTTGTTGAAAGTTTAAGAGAGATAACCCAAACCAAACCCAATACTATGGAATCAGTTCCAACTCAAAACAACACTGTATAGGGTTTCCTGGTATAGCACTGTAGGGTCTGCACTGGACTTCGAACCATAGGTCAGTGGTTCAAACCCATCAGCTGCTCCTCAGAAGTCCTATAAGGGTCTCTATAAGTAGGAACCAACTGGCACTTACAATGTTGTTGTTGTTATGTGCCGTGGAGTCGGTTCCGACTCATAGCACCCCTGTACAGGGTTTCCGAGGCTGTAAATCTTTATGGGAGCAGAAAGCCTCATCTTTCTCCCGCGGAACAGCTGGTGGTTTCGAACTGCTGACCTTGTGGTTCGCAGCCTGATTACAATAGTTGTTATAAATCTATAAATATATATATATATATCTATAATAACAAATCTATAAGGCTATAAATCTAAAGCCTCAGCTTTTCCCATAGACTGGCTGGTAAGTGTGAACTGCTGATCTTAAGGTTAGCAGTCCAGTGCTTATCCGACAGCACCACCAAGGCTCTAAAAGATATTGTTATTATTGTTAAGTGCCACCAAGTCAGTTCAAACTTCTCAAAGCCAAATTCGTGGAAAGAATCCTGAGAGCAGATCAGGAAAAACAAAAGTTAACTACAAAGGAGAACTGGTAAGACTGATTTCTCAGCAGAAACCATGCAGGCAAAAAAACAATGTTCTGGTTAAGTGCCATTTAGTGACCCTATATAGGGTTTCCAGGGCTTTCAATTTTGGCGGGAGCAGAAAACCTCAGCTTTCTCTTATAGAGTGGCTGGTGGCTGGAACCACTGACATTGTTGTTCGAAGACCAATGCTTATCCTACAAAGCCATCGTGCTCCCTTAAAAGAGATAAAGTGAGACTTACAATCAAGTGAGAGGGTTAAGTAAACAAGTAATTCAGTAGAATGAGACAGATTTTATACTGTTTCGTTGTTGTTAAGTGCTGTCGAATCGGTTCTGACTCATAACAACCCTGTATAGGGTTTCCAAGAAGCAGCTGGTGAGTTTGAACCGCCAACCTTGCAGTTCAAATGACCTCGTGTTCCAGTGCTTACCCTACAGTGCTACACCAGGATTCTATAATAAATGTATTAATATATTATGTTAATATTATTATAATCATATTAATAATAATGATTTTGTTGTTAAATGCTATCGAGTTGATTTTAACTCATAGCGACCCTGTATAGTTTCCAAGACCAACACTTATTGAGCTTTTAGTAAATGTCAGGGGATAATGTCCTAGTGCATGTATATACATAATATTTTATATTCAGGGTAAAGATTCCAGATAGGCAAAGCACCTGTGTAAAACCTGGAAGTGAGCTGGTGATTCTAGCTAGGACAGTAGGTATAGGAAGGTAATAGGTGAAAGTTTGAGGCAGAAGCAACAAATTGGAGCTGGATTACACTAGAACGCTGTGCACAGCTACTGAAGGTTTTATTTTGTGTTTAGTTGACCAGGGCTGAATCTACACTGTGTAAAGTAAAGAGAGCCAGATACTCCACGTCATCCTTGGTGATACTGTTCCCTCATTGGCTGGTTCAGACGGAATCTCTTTCCATTACAAAAGTGATACATAATTAAAACTAAAATTAAAATAACAGAGAAGTATATATAGAGCAACATAAAAGTTCATGATCTCCCGTAACACCACTCTCATTTATGAATAAAATGGTACCAACAACTGGATTGAACAATTTTACTAATATGTCTTGAACATCTTTCATGTCACTAAACATAGCTATCTCTCTATTTTTTATAATTATACGGATATAAAAGGGAGCTTGAACATTTTCCTAGAAAAAAAGAATGAAAAGATACTGGAATTTTTCCATGAGCTTTTAGGAGCCCCCTCATACTTTAACTTAACTGTTCTATATTGATGGATATTGACTTTAAAATTTTGTTAGCATTATAAACAATGCAACAATAACAATCCTTATTCATCTATCTTTGTTCTTTGTGAGTACTCTGTAGCAGTACTTCTCACGTTTTAATGAGTTTAGGAATTGCTTGATAATCTTGTTAAAATAAAATGTAGGTTCTGACATCTCAGGGGATATCAATGCTGCTATCTGGACAACTCTTGAGTATTTGAGGAGCATGAGTCTATTGGATGCATTCTTGCTATTTTTAATTACCATCTAGTTGGTTCTGACTCATGGCAACCCTATGTGTGCAGAATAGAACTGCTCCGGATGATTTCAAGGCTGTGACCTTTCCGAAACAGATGCCCACATCTGTCTCTTATGGACCAGCTGGTGGGTTCAAACTACTGACCTTTCAGTTTAGCAACCAAATGCTTAACCACTACTCCATATATATACATGGGGACTGTTTTGGGACTCTATTATTTTTCACTGATTTATATAACTAGCACTTTCTGCTCTAATATCCACTGTCA